CTTGTTTCTTCCTTGCCTTTGTTCTTTTCTCGTTCTTACTCTTGTAAATCTTGCTCCAAATTGTTTTTTTTTAATTATTTTTTCTTTATGCTGTTGTACATGAGGGGGTTTTTGTTGTTGTTGTTGCACTTTTAAACTTTTCTCAGTATGACTTTGAGACCTGCCAAACTTTGTAGGTTTCTAGATTCTCTCGCAACAGAAGTAATTCCTGTGGTTCTGTATGTTTTCATAAAAATTTCAATGAAATCTTAGGAGCTTTAAAGTGTTTTCTCTCTCCTGACTGACGTGCAGATAATTTCTTTAGAAATTTCTGTGAAATATGAATTTAACAGGAATTCCAGGGCCCAGAGCACTGAGCTGGGAAAAGGTTTGTCCTGGGAAAAGGAAGCTTGTGTTAGAAAACATTGCGTATGCAGTGTCCCAGGACCCCGACTCTGAGAGAGCTCTGCCTGGAATCTGAAGGAACAGTGCCTCTTTAGTGAGATATATGGCTTCATAATTAGCCCCTTGCATTTTTTCCTGAGTGCTAGCATCAGCGTTCTATGATGTGTTTCCCTGATTAACAGCTGCTTTGCAACTATTTCCGTGTGCCACCGATAACCATATTTGTCACGTTAGTCCTGGCAGAGCACTGATTTCTTACTAAAATGCAGCATTTCTGTTTGAAGGGGTTTTCTTGTTCATTGCAGCACCAGGCTTTTAAGTCAGCCCTTGTTAAAACGTAAGTTGGCTTTAGCCTGATGCTTGTTAACAGGATTCTGGGTATCTCCTTTAGAGTAGGAGTGCAGAAACCTTTCACAGACAATTTAATCTTCTGAGCCTTGCAAACATACAGCCGTACACTGAGGGGGTGTTGCTGTAGGCTAATATATTGATCAGTTCCATTTGCCCTATAGCTGTGGCCTTCTGCTCTGGCTGAAATAGGTTGAGTGTTTGTTGATAGTGCCATATTATTATTTTTTAATACACTGGAAAAAAATTAATTCCAACTTCTTTTACATACGTCATGTATATTGCCAGTGTTGATTGCTTCCGCACATGTAATGTAAACTGTCTGTGCATAGTTCATGGCCTGTGCCGCCTCTGCTTAATGAAAAGAAGTGTTGCATTTAAACAGATACAGATCCACTCAGAAAGACAAAATACCAGCCCTTGCAACGTATAATTCAGACCCAACCTTTACATCACAGGTCATCTCAAAGTCTCAGTCTATCAACAAATGCTGTTTAGTAATAACCTACAGAGGGTTCCCAGGATTAGGAAATCTGTTTGAGCTCTTACGGGCTGCGCTCCTGGTGCCTTTTGATTCCGTTTTCCACGTGGAACTCTGTTACCGTATCCCACTGAACTTTTATCGATGAAGATGATTTCTTTCACCTTTTTGTTAATTGATTACTTTGTTGGGTTTTTTTGAGATGGTAGAAAGTCAGCATTTGCCACAGTATTTTAAATTTTGTGGTTTATTTTGCTAATGCTGGTAACTGATGAAGTAGCTTAGATTGCTTCGTTGGAAACACTACACCTCCGAGCGCAGTAAGAAATCAGGCTGGCTTTTCCTTCCTCGTGAACACAAAAGGGAGGGAAATTAGGAACGAGGGACCTTGGCTGTAACGTCAAAGTGCTGTGCTTTGACCCAGAATTTTGCCAGCCTGCTGCACTCCCACGACATCTGCCATAAAGTTCCCATTTCCATTTTATATCTTTGACATTGAAGCAGAATATTTGGCCTGAATTTATGTAATTTGGCCATACACAAATATAATCCGTGAAGAGTTACACTCATCTTCTAATTAGAAAGTCAAACTGTAGGACAAGACCTGCTGCAGGATTCCACCCACCACCACCCAGTCAGGAGCAGGGCTTTGTGTATCGTCTCACTGCAGGAGCAGCGGTTTGGGGATCGCAAGTTTATGGAATTGACTTTCTTTTAAAAGCCAAATTCACTGTTTCATTAAGAGAAATATGTACCTGAGCGACTAGATACAACTAGTTTGCTGGCCCCTGTGTGCTGGCAATCTGGGAATCAGAGTAATGATACAATGAACGTTATTTGGCAGTGTCCTAATACTATAAAAATCCGGAGAAGTGTTACAAATGATACAGAAATAGTAGGGAACAATGTTACCAGCTGAGTCAGAGTGCTATTTGCTGCATGATTTTTTTTGGCTGTACGCAGGACTGCAAAGTCTTCTCGTCTTCCTCCTCCTTTTTCTGTTGTTTAAATTATGGGCTGCAGTTGCCCTTGTTTGTGCAAAGAAAATGATCCATAGAAGGTAGGAAGGTTCCTCTGTATGTTTGTTGAAAATACTGGCATTTTGACATGGCCAAAATTGCTTCATAAGTTGCTCACGTGTACAAGATGAATTACAAAAATGAAGATGTTTCTGCTCAGCCTGTATGAGGAATGTTCAGAGGTAAATGCAAACACAAATATGAGAAACATGGGGTTATTGGGAGGAGGAAAACATGTCCAGGATTCTTTTTTTATGAAGTTTGTTACTGCTTGTAATTTTATTCTGTTTTGAGATTAAAAATGTTGTGAATAATGGAGGAAGTGATGCAGGGGAGAGATAAAATAGAAGTTTATTTTGGAGTGAAATTTACTACTGAAATGTTTACATTTTTACAAGGTGAAAATAAGTTTTAATAAAGGATTAGAATCAATAAAATGTTCACATGGTTGTGATTGAAATAGCACAATGAAAAATAGTGCATATTCCTTACAGCTTTTTTAATGCTTAAAACCAGATAATTAAGTATGAGAGCTTGCAGAATTTCAGCTCTGCAGGCTGTCCATGTCTCCAGCTCACTAAATATGGGAGGGAGTGCTGAGGAGTTTCTGAAGAAACAAGTAATTATTGTTAGAAGGAAAGTGGTTTTGATATGTTCACATATCTGTTGGTCTGCTCATTTGGGCATCTTTCTTATTCAGCATATTATCTTAAGGTTATTAGTTGGGGCGCTTTATATTTCTGCATCTGGCGTAGCAGTATCAGCACAGCTTAAATGTGTGATTTGCCTGTCACCTGCATTTCAGCTGGAGACAGATCAAGTGCACATAAATGAAACCGAAGTGTACTTTGTGCGGGGTATTTTGCTGTGGTATTTTATGGTTTGAAATTACCGAGTATAAACTTAAGGGGAGGGGGGAAAAAGAAGGAAAATAAGAAAAGGGAAAGAATTAAAAAGACCCCATTCATTTTATCCTCCCAACTTGGAAGTGTGCTGGGACTTTGTCAAATTCCCGTTAAAATAAATCTGTCAATTTCATCTCCCTCCCAAATTCATTTATCATGCTTTTTTAAAAGGTGTTTTCTGCTTTACCTGATGTTTAAATTGGATTCGCTCGTTTATGCTGTTCTTTGCTGTATCTCCCATGTTTTTCTTAAATGAATTAGTAATGACAGCGTACTCCATCATACCCTCTCTACAGCCACTTTAAGGGAAGCCTGGTGATCTAAACCTTTTAACCTATTAAAGATGATTTTCCCCAATTGAATCAGACCCACCACAGGTGTAATAACTAATCATTTAAACTACACCTGCTATTATGTATTTTTAAGCCATTATGCGTGTTGGATAGATGATAATTCATGTTTATTGCATTGTCCAATGGATCCGTTTTGCCTACACTAGCCTGATTAATGTATTTAAAGAAATAAGAGATGCAATTTAAAAGAAAAAAAACATTGATGGAATGCACTGAGGAGTACATTGAAAGTGCCATTAAACCCATCAGAACTTTGCTCTCTGACCAGAAATGCATATTCGAAGGGTTTGATTCAAACACAAAGTGAAACTTAGTGATTTCAGTAGTGATGCTATTTTTTTGCTTCTTTTTCTGCCGTGAAAAGTTTTGAAAACCTTTTTGTAACTAAATTTCAGAAACTGTATTTTAAGGTAAGCTCTTCAAGACCTACCTAGCATAGGACTAGCATATACCACTGTTTCAGGAGGTTTATGCCACTGTTTTGGGGAGAAAAACCTCTTCCATGCATATGCGTGGATGTTTTTAGGAAGTAAGTAACCTTTTCCACTTATTTCCATGGATGCGTCCATCTCCTAAATGCTGGTAACTGCAGGCAGGTTATTCCCCCCAGAACAGATGTCTTTGTATAAAAGTGAAGTGAATCACTAGTGCAGCAACATGTAATAATGTGTGTAATGGTATAGGAGACTATGTGGAAAGCTGACCTACCGTATGAGGAAAAAACCAGTTCCCTTTGGCACTGAATGGAAATGTAAAAGACTAGTGCCAGCCTCGCCATTGAGTATTGTCCCATACTTGACCCTTTGTTTGAATAAGTGGTTTCGTTTAAGTGCTCTGTGGCCTTAAAGAAGGACGTAGAAGTCAGTCTTTGGACAAAAGTAATCTGTGATTTCTGCTGGTGTGGAACATTACTTTACCTGTTTTTGTAAAGAAAAGTGACTTTTTTGATATTTTTGTTATGTGATCCAAAATATGTGAAGTTGCTTCTTTTCCAGTCATGACAAGCTGAGGTTTATTTATTGCTTTCAGTAAATTAGAATGATGGCAGAAGAGGCCTTAATCTCTTAGAATTTGCAGGGGGCGTTAAGTCAGAAAGAAAACATTTTTATGAGTAAGCCTACTGTTAGCAGATCACACACATTGTCTCAAGATTGCTCTCAACTATAGGAGCCAACTTAGATTAAGAAGATCACAACATAAATTACAGAATCCCTTAAGAATCTTAATGGATTTTTTTTGTACAGGTTGAGCTGCTCGAAGGGTAATTCAACAAAAAACTTCCGGGTTGAAATACCATAATCTTGCTCTCTGATTAGAGTTGAGCCACAAACTCTGATGTTTGTTGAACCAGTTCTGAATGTTGGATCAGTGTTGGCTCCAGACCATCTCCACGTGTTGGGTACAAAGCCTTACTTTGCAGTACAGAATGCATAATGCAAAATAGGAATTTGACCATTCCTAACTTGGATCTTTCTCTCTTCTGTTTTTCCAATCCTCCTACCCTCATCAGATTGTGACAGCAGTGAAGTTTTTACAGAATCCACGGGTCCGCCAAAGTCCTCTTGCAACCAGAAGAGCGTTTCTGAAGAAGAAAGGTATGGACTTAAGTTTGTGGTTTCAGTGATAATGAGGGAGCTTGAGTTAGCATAAAGCCAAAATGTATCGCTATGGAAAATTAGATGTTAAGGACAAGGCACATCGTCTGTCTTAAAAAAAGATTTGAAGTTTGTAAGAATTATCAATCTCTTTTCTTCTAAACTGACTAAAGCAATATTGGCACCAGATGTGGAGCTGTAGAATACAGAAGATGTGCTGGAAGGTTTTGCGTTAACTCTTATCAGGTATTTCCTACAATGAGGACAGTTTAGAGTTGTGGACTAGTTGGTCAGTTCCAGCTTTGGTGACGTTGGCTTTAGAATGACCATCTTCTAGGTGAAAAGGTCAAACGTTTCTGAAGAGAGCCAGAGAGAGGAATGAAGGGCAAAGGACTTGATGAAAGTAAACAAGGTCAGGTTAAGGTCAGGCTTGGGGTCAGCCAGGCTGAAATGGTAAACTGACTGAGTTTAGCCCTTTTCTTTAGCAGGGATAGAACTGTTCCTGACAAAACCTTTATCGTCTGAGACAGATGGAACATACTTCGGCCATTGCCTGCTGAGAATTTATTTTACTTTCTGACTCATAGCAGAACTATCTTTTGTTCCTTTTTTATTTCTAATGTTTTTTAGTGCACAGCTTACAGTGCATTTCAGGTAAAGTTCATTCCACGTTATTCTATCCTCCTGGGACCATATTGCTTAGATCCCTACCACAAGATGTAAATAATGACAGTCTTATGTTGGAGTTAATTGTGTGCAGTGTGGAGCACTTTAAGCAGCTGGAATGATACTGAAAATATGAAGTCCAAACTTCAGGGGAGTGTGACCCATTTATGCGTTGAAGTCAGAAGTACTTCAGGGCATGCCAAATTCTATAGCTAAGGTTCCTGAGTTTTGAAAAGTAGGGAAGTCTATGAATTATTCTGTTTGGGGTTACGAAATGTTTATTGAGATGCCTGAGACCTGATGTAATGAGATTGAGAGTTCAAGTATGTGCACCACTTTGCTCATCTTGAATAGCAAATGACCTAGAAGGGGAATGGCAGTCGTGTGTGTGGGCAGTGGTGTCATGAGTAGTTCATGGGTACCTCGCATCGAGTGTGATCCTCTCGCTGCTTGTCCTGGTGCCGGCTAGAGAACTTCCCACTCACACAAGTGTGTTGCTTGCCCTGCCCTCCCATCAGGATGGCATTAAAATTTGGAGCCTGTTGGCCGCTGTGCTCCATGAGTTTTTCCTTGAAATATGTGGACCTATGGGGAGTAATTAATCATAAAAGCTTGGGGATTTCAACTCTATCATCGAAGCAATGAAGCAAGGGAAAACTGAGCCTAAAAGCTGTGCTGATTACCCGGGGTAACCTGATACAAAATCTATTGTTGCTGAGAGATCCTTAGCCCCCAGTATATCGTGCAATATTATAACTGCCTGATCTTCTTCTGTGCTGACAATGACCAGTTATTCCTCATTTTCTCTCTCAACACAGCTGGGTTAGAATTTCATTTGCAGAAGGTATTTAGAGCAATTTAGAGACAAATGTCTCTGGTGTTTGCTCTGCACTTCCCCACCGCAGGCTTTGCTGAACAGTTTTTAGTATCAGGAGCTCCATCTAATCTGTTTAATTTTAATAAATCCCTGACTGGGAGAAGAGGAAGGATGGGGAGATGGAGGCACAGAGAAACTGTGGCCCGACTAATACTCCTTATGAATTACTTGGCTAATAATTACTAAAGAGCAAAAATGGTTTGGTAGAGCTGTTTGTTTGTTCCTGTTTGTTAATTAGCCCTCCTTCCCTTTGTGCTAATTGTTTGTTTGAAAACTTAACAGTAGGAGATAGGAAGGAGCAGAGTCCAGTAGTGTCTGTACCCAGCAGTCCCTGGAAATACGTCCGTGTAGAATCCGATCACTGGGCTTACAACAGGGCCTCTGTTCAGTGCTCGAGAGCACAAGGTGTGCGCTGCCAGGGTACCTGTGTGCTTGTGTGTTGGGGCTTGAAAGGTGGATGTAGTGTCCGGAGTAAATGAGGGATTACACGGTTTTGTAGGCTGTTGCCCCTATTCTCTGCTATACAGTCATTGTCATCCCAATGATAATGTTTATCCCCATTTTACAGATAGTTAGGCTGTCTGGTGGAGAAGTCCTCACTGTCAGTCAAAAAAACATTTTCTCTACTGAAATCATTTCAGTAACAAGAGTCTCTCTTAACATTTTCTTTGTACGAAATGGTACAGAGGTACCCTTGTATTTTTTTCACAGTTACTCTGATCCCGGTTTCTTCCAGCAGAAATTGCAAAGAAGATTTTTTTACAGACCCCAGAAGATGTTTGGTGGAGGGGAATTTTCTATGGATAGCTGGACGCCATGTGTCAGCTTGTCTTTTGTATCTACTTTCTTGGAACCATGCAGGAGAGGTCTGTGACTCCCCGCAAAGTCCAGTTAAAAATTCCTGCAGTGGAGAGGATGGTGCAGGATCACCTGGTGTCTGTGAATGCAGGGGAGAAGACCGGGTGCCCCAGCTCTGCCGGAGCCTTCCCCTACCTCGGCTACAGCCTGGTAGGCTACAGGGATAGGATTGCAGCATTAGTTCTGGGTGTGATTTCAGGTCCTGCAATCCCGACTTTGCTCAAGAAATTTCACTTCTGAGACTTGCAGAGGTGATTCCACCTTGAATTCTAATTTTGTCTTCTTTTTCGTAAGTGCCTCCTTCCTAAAAAAGGCCAAATTTTATTTCCTTTTAATATTATTTAGTATTTAATATAGGAACTGTATTTTGTTGAATACATTTTAGTGCAGCGAGAAATGACAGTTTCTGCAGGATCATCAGCTGGACTGGGTTTGTTTTCTTGTGAAACAGTAGTTGCAGAGGCTGAAAGTAGATTTTCACAGTTACTTGCAGGTCAGGGCTTTG